AAAAAGTTGTAAGCCAGGCATAGCATGATTCCATTTCTATTAACAATAAAGTATATGTGTCTCAATTGTTTTGTGTCCATTAATTATCTGCTTCTTGATTTTAATGTGTTTTTTTCTTTTCATTTTTATTTTGCCTTTTGTACTTGTTTTTTCTCAAGTATCTGGTGATTCATATTTCTTTCCTTAAGGAATGGAGAATGTGTTTCTTGTGTTTAGATCTGAAGGATGCACTCAAGTTCGAGACTGCTGACTGTGCGCCTCTAAAAGATGGCATTTAGAACAATTAGTCCTTCTGGAAAGTAATTAGGAAGCTGAGTGGAGTATATGAAGCAGCCCTTTCTCCTGATTCACACACCAGGAAAGAATGTTTGGGTGTCCTGTTACACGTTGGGCAATTGACATAATTGTCTTTTTATGAATTGGACACTGTAAACTGATAGATATCCACAAAAGGGAAAGAGCCAAGAATCAGTATTTCTGTGTGTATTAAATATATAAAGCAGATGAAATCAAATTACATTAAATATTATATGATGGAGTTTTTAGTTGAGAAGTCACACGTGTAAAGAATCCCTCCACTTTCACCACTGACTGAAAACCCCCTGATGGACATAGGCCCACATGCCACTTTCAAGCCCATAATTCTCGTTTCCTTTCCCCGTCACTCTACTCCTCCTTCCCCTTCCATCCTTCTTCTCCCAATGAGAAGGGAACAGTGTTGCCTGGTAAGTGAGCGTAAGCAGTTATAGCTAAGGGAGACATGGTTGGTATACAACTAGGGCTTGTGGCCTTGAGGTAGCTAGTTTGAAGCAAACAGTGAACTTTGCCATCTTACATGATTAAACCAAACACAATTAACAAACTAGGGAGTCAGGTTTACCCTTTTTATAAAATATATTCAACATATTACTATTTGAGGTTGTGTAAACATTTATGTCTAGAAAATAACCACCAGGGATGGAAAATCTGAAACTAAGTGAAACATCTATTATCATGGAAGAGTGTCCATGAACTCCAGACTTGATAAGGATAAGAACTGCACAACCTTAGGTAGTAATAATAATAATTAATAATATTGTTAACTAGCACTAAACTAGTAGCAGTGGTAGTAAGAAAGTCCAGAAGTGACACTGAATGCTTACATTTTGACTGTTTCTCATTGAGTAATGATGTAAGGAAGTAGGCTCAGTCTTCCACCTTCTATTTATCATCCCATTAATGATAATTCATTGCATGTGTTTTGATGGCATTATTTGCTAATTGTACTTATGGGAGCCTCAAAATTCTTTCAAAGGTAACAATAAATCTGCACTGAAGCGAGTTCTAGTCTGCATTTATCACAATCCACATTCATGAACATTCAAATATACTCTTTTGTTTGCACATTTAACATCTCCTATTGGTCTCAAGATCATCTGCAATCAATAAATATGTATTAACTATTTATGAAGCTTTTACTGTGATCCAGGTAATTCCATAGTAATAATTTTCAAATATTAGTTTAATTTCTTTCCATTTTTACTTGTTACATTCTCTCCTCTCTTTTGCTTGTTTCTTTCTTTCTTTTTCTTTCTGTATCAAAGAAGATTTTTGGTCATGTCTTTTTATTTATTTTTTTAAGTTTATTTAGTTATTTTTGATAGAGAGAGAAAAAGCACATGAGAGTGAGCAAGGGGGTGGCAGGGAGAGAGGGAAAGAGAGAGAATCTCAAGCAGGCATTGATCCCTAGCACTATCAGTCTGAAGCTGATACAGGGCTTGAACCTGCAAACCATGAGATCAAGACCTGAGCTGAAGTCACGAGTCAGATGCTTCACTGACTGAGCCACCCAAGCGTCCCAATCATGTCTTAATTTTTAATGTTTATTTATTTATTTTTGAAAGAGAGAGAAAGGGAAAACAAGCATGGGAAGAGCAGAGAGAGAAGGAGACACAAAATCTGAAGCAGGCTCCAGAGCAGAGCCAGATGCAGGGTTCAAACCCCAAAACTATGAAATCATGACCTGAGCCAAAGAGTCAGATGCCTAACTGACTAAGCCATCCAAGCACTCAATCATGTTTCATTTTTAAAAGGGACTATAAACATGGGGTGGGTTGTGTGATATCCCATAATTCATACATATGTCTTTATATCTAGATAAACAGATAATAGATAGATAGATGATAGATAGATAGGTAGATAGATAGATAGAAATAGATATCTTGCTTACAATTTCTTTACTGAATAAATATTTGGATTAGAAAAAAAAGTTGGGGCAAACTTTATATATTGCATCCAATTCCCCCATAGTACATATGAAGAAAACTAAGATGCAAAGTGGCCAAATGACTTCCCCAAGATCCTACTGTAAACAGAGAAGCCAGTTAAAGCACTTAGATCTACCCTGTGGAGACTTTTCAGTAGAGCATGGATTTTTCCCATTTATATTCCAAAATTACACACCCAGATTTGTGTGTGTGTGTGTGTGTGTGTGTGTGTGCGTGGTTGGATGTCAGTTGAAAGGCAGCTGTTCATTGCTCCAATCCCAAAATGCCAGTGATGATAATGGCTATGTGTCTGTAGATACGGTCGACATGTGACCTTGAGACATTTTTGTTTTGTGTGCCTATGAAGATTGACCTCAGAATGATTATGGCTTCCCAGGCCCTCTCTGCTTAAAAGCTTGTCTGTTTTCCTTATAGGAAGGTTTGTCTTTTCCTGCGCTAGCAGAGCCACATTGCTTGAGATTGACAAGTAGCCTCCTTGCAAATGTCACTTCCTAGGAATCAACAGCTCTGCCACATTGCTTCCAATTACGTTTGACAGTGTCCTTGTAAAAATCTATGGACAACCTATTTCAGCTTGTCACATGTGAATTACACTTTCCTCTCCTGGTCCTCCCACCCTAGCAACAGATATTAGCCCCCAAAAAACCACATGGCCCCGACGGTAAATTAGTGACTTAAGAGGACTCTCCTGTGAGTGATACAAAATCACTCTCAGGTGAAACAAAGTTATCATGGAGATACTGCTGATTAAATTCATTGGTAACCATTGAGAGGGAAGGGCATTGTGTGTGATGGCTCTGAATGCCTTACTTACAAGAAGTCTGCACTCATACATTAATTTATACAGCAAAGCCAGGAGTCACATCTCTGGATGCTGAAGGAAACTGCCAATGTGATATCTGAGCAGCTGTCATTCCGTTGAGAAATCCTAGGGGCAGGGAGAAGTGCCAGGAGCTTATAAGGTGAGGAGCTGTCCCAGTTTTTGTTTTTTAAAGGAAAGAACATAATTTATATCAGAAATTACAGATTTGGGACACTATCTGGAATTGACAAATAAATGTTGTGTTTGAATGTTAGAATATGCAATGTCTCTAATATAGGTACTTGAGGCATCTTTAATAACTGAACTGCCTTGGAGTGAATAGAATTAGCAATCACTGCAAGACTGAATGGACCACAAAGTCCTCCAGGGCCCCTTTTTTTTTTTTTTTTTTGGAAGAGCAAATAAATATTTTTTCATGGATTTAACATGATGAAATGAGGGTAGAGTATTATTTTTATTTTATTTGAATCTGATTCAACAATCCTTTTTATCTTAGATAAATAAGAGCTATCTAGAGGAAAGAGTCAATGATCATTCTTAGCTTTGTTCCCTTGAGAATGATATGATTTCAATGACATCATAAAAGAATGATTTAGTGGCTCAGAACAGATTTAATATCTGCATTTACCAGAATGTAAACACCATGAAGTCAGGGAGCTCCGCTGTGTGAGTCACTGTTTGATTTCGTACATGCATTTGCCTGACACACATGCTCAATACGTCATAGAACAGAAAATATGCAGAAGTGATGTTTCACCAGCTTTGCAGAAACTCTGGTACTACTTAGGTGTCTCTCACTTGGTCTTAGAATTTCTAATGAGTTGGTTCAGGTTAATCTGATTCTTGACTGCCAGATAGTAGCCATAGTTTGCCTTCTTTCCTGCTCTGTCGAAGTGTGACTGTCTCTGACCAGCACAAATGCCTATTAAAAACACCACGTATAGGAGGATTAGGAGGAACTTGACGGAGGAACAAGGGGGAGAAGAAGGGGGGAAATGGTGGGGGAAAGGGAGAGAGGCAAACCATGAGAGACTCTTGAATGCTGACAAAAACTGAGGACTGATGGATGTGGGGGGGAGGAGGGATGGGCATGGAGGAGGGCACTTGTGGGGATGAGCACTGGGTGTTATGTGGAAACTAATTTGACAATAAACTATTTGTAAAAAAAAAAAATCAAAAAAAAAAACAACACTACTGCCTTGGGGCATGTGGGTGGCTCAGTCAGTTAAGCATCCTACTCTTGAGTTGGATCAGGTCCTGATCTTGAAGTTTGATGAGTTCAATCCCAGAGTCAGGTTCTGCGCTGGCAGCACCGAACCTGCTTGGGATTCTCTCTTTCCCCTCTTTCTCTGTCCCTCCCTCGCTCACACTGCCTCTTTTTTTCACTCAAAATAAATAAATAAACTTAAAAAAAATCACTGCCACTGCTATGGTACCCACATGCCATCTCTAGTTATGATTTCTAGGTTGAAGCTGTCAGTCTCAGAGGCCAAGTAGAAAATGAAAAAGGTAAGGAAGATGCTAGGCCCCTATTACTGCCAACCCTCCATGAAGAAACTGTGTATGAGTTTTAAAAACACTAATACTAATATTTGATCTCCATGCTAATTCTCTGATGTAGAAACTACACCCCGGCAGTGGAATGGAGTAAGTCTGGGGGTAACTTTATTGTAAATGCACACATCATGGGTCCTATATCAGCACTCCTGTTGCAAACACAGATGCTACATGCAATGGTGCCTTCGCTGTCAGTATTTGATTTTTTTATCGCAATGCAGAACAGAGGTAACTCAGCATACGTGAGGTTGCTATCCTTAGAAAGACCGAGATTGGCCCTTGACTGGTGTCTGGGAACTTAGATTTTCCATCATTCACAAAACTGAAAACTAAAACACAACAGGCCTAAGTTGTTTGCACAAAAATTATGTTTTACGGTGACTACCCGTTTTCCTTCTGGGGATCTTCGAGGCAGAGGGCGTGTGCATGGTCAGTCATAGGTAAAAGCATTGGTGATGAGTCCATATGTGCTTTCCCGGTAGACATTTCACAGGTGTCGTCATCACTCAGTGCTCAAGGAATTGTAAACTGCATGTCTTCTGAGACTCCACCGCGAGGAGACTCTTGGAAAACTGGAAAACTGTACCTGCTTTCCTTTGGGCTTTGCTCCATGCACCTTTTCCCTTTGCTACTTTTGCCTCATATCCTTTTTGCTGTAAGAAATTATAGTCGTGAATATAATTATACACCGATTTCCATAAATTCTCCTAACAAATCACTGAACCTGAGGGTGTCCTTGGGGACTCCTCATATGACACAGTTGTCAAGGAAAGGGTCATATTAACCACTACAGGTTCTGAATGACCCTCTAGATCCCTGGACGTCATCATAATTTAACTCTATTTAAACGTTTTCTTTGTTCATTTGACTTAAAAATCAAGTAGGATCCCATAAGACAAAATGAATAAAATACTAATAAAATGATAATAAAAAATAGTAGCCCACAATTTATTGAGCCAATTTACATATTTAGTTTTCATTTTAGTGGGGCACTGTGATTAGTACTTGACGTGCATTTTCTCATTTAAGCATTACAACATTTCCGTGACGCATGCAACTGTAAAATCATAAATCTTCAGACAGAGAAACAGACACAGGGAGGTCAAATACCTTGTCAAAAGTTCTAAGTTGAAACAGTAGTGAAACTGGTACTTAAAGCAAGAGTTTTGCAAAGCCAGCCTTGGTACCCAACACTACATGAGCTCAGTTTTTCCTGTCTTTAGATTTACCTTCTGCTTAGACCCTTACTTGCCCCAAACCAATCATTATGCTCTTTGCAGGTCTCTGTTTTAGGGTGATTTTTTTTTTCAGAAAAAATCTCCTGAGTCTGCCCAACATACAGAAAATATATGATGTGCATACACACCAGTGGCCCTCCAAAACCCTGAGACATGTGAAGAACATAGGGAAAAATGAGTCTAGGTTGTATCAAGGACGAAATCGTCTTCATCAACTGTCATCAAATAGCTTTTGGCAAATCCTTGAGGACAGGAATTCAATTTTAAAATATGCTTGAATCCTTAAAAACATACCCTGTTTCTGGCAAATACAAGGTACTCATTTTTTAAAAATGTGGTTAGTGGATAAATCGATGAGTGTTGAGCTTTAGATCGTGTTTGGGGATTTGGTTCTTATAATGTCCAGAAATTATAGTGTTGGAGACACAATTTGGACTGGAGGTATGGGTAATTAATAGAAGTATATTCACATTATATTTATAGCTAATAATGTTATAAATTCATAAAATGACCATGACTCAAAACCACACTAAAGAAAGTTTCAGTGATAGGAAAGTGGCTGATGGCATCCTTAGTGTTGATTCGTTAAGAAGAATTTGGTACAATTTTTCTATGATGTGTTAAAGAAAAGACACAAGTTTCTGGAAGTATGGAATTATTATAATTTCATTAGTATACATAAATTCATATATGTATGTGTATATAAAGATGTGTATATACACACATATAAATGTGTTTTAATGGATACATAAAACATTTTTATCTTATTTATATATAAGTTACATTTCTAAATGTTTGTTTATTTGACAGTACAAATGGGAGAAGGGCAGAGAGAGACAGAGAGAGAGAGAGAGAGAGAGAGAGAGAATCCCAAGCAGGCTCCACACCCAGTGCAGAGCCCAATGCAGGGCTCAAGCTCACAACCGTGAGATCATGACCTGATCTGAAATCAAGAGTCAGACACTTAACTGACTGACATCCCCAGGTGCTGCAGAAAATACATTTGTTTAAAATGTAAGGATAATCATATCACATTATCAATATAGGTTTACTTCATGGGAGTGGGATGGAGTAGGTTTGAGTTTCCCTCATAAATATAAATATTATATATATATTAAAAAAGTTTTTTTAATGTTTTATTTCTTTCTGAGAGAGAGAGAGACAGCGTGAGCAGGGGAGGGTCAAAGAGAGAGGCAGAATCTGAAGCAGGCTCCAGGCTCTGAGCTAGCTGTCTGCACAGAGCCGGATACCGGGCTCGAACCCACGAATCGTGAGATCATGACCTGAGCCGAAGTCGGACGATTAACCAACCGAGCCACCCAGGAGCCCCTAAATATTATATATTTTTAAAATATCTTTAATGTTTTTAAAATAATTTTTAATGTTTTTTATTTATTTCTGAGAGAGACACAGAGAGAGACAGAGTGAGCAGGGGAGGGTCAGAGAGAGAGGGAGACACAGAATCTGAAACAGGTTCCAGCCTCCGAGCTGTCAGCACAGAGCCCGATGAGGGGCTCGAACCCACAAACCATGAGATCATGACCTGAGCCGAAGTCAGATGCTTAACTGATGGGGTTCGGGGGGAGGGAAAGGGGGGTGATGGGCATGGAGGAAGGCACTTGTGGGGATGAGCCCTGGGTGTTATATGGAAACCAACTTGACAATAAACTATTAAAAATAATAATAATAGAATTTAAAATGTTAAAATATATGTAAAAATAAAATATGTAATAACTAGCACAAAGGGCAAAAGTTAAGAAAAAAATTAAACTGTTTTTAGTTTCCAGCATTGTTTGTGAAGTGGTAAAAATCTAATTTCTGGAAGACATACCCCAAAATAAATAGTTTAATTCCTACAAGATATATATATATATATATATATATATATATACATATATATATATATTTAATGTTTATTTATTTTTGAGAAAAAGAGTACGAATGGGGGAGGGGCAGAGAGAGAGAGAGATGGGGAGACACAGAATCTGAAGCAGGCTCCAGCCTCTGAGCTGTCAGCACAAAGCCTGACACAGGGCTTGAACCCATGAACTGTGAGATCATGAACAGAGCCGAAGTCAGACATTTGACCAATTGAACCACCCAGGTGTCCCTAAATACTATATTTCTAAGTATGGTGAGATTATCAAGCTTTTACTGCTTTTTAAGCTTGTTTTCATCAATATGCATATAAATAAATATTATAATTTTGATTGATAAGACTTGATGTTATTTCAAGTGAAGAAATGTAGAATGATAAATAATGTAGCTTGCTTGCTAAGACTGTGTGTGCATGTGCATTTATGTGTGTGTGTGAGCGTGCATGTGTACATTATATGTGTATATGTATGTGTGTGTTTATTTATTTGGAGGGTGGACTAAACTATGACTCGTTAAGGAGTGGATTCATGTAGGGCTTTTATTTTCTTAGTTTGGTTATTTTATATTTTCTATTTGTTTGCAATGAAGTGGATTATTTTATGAAATAAAGAAAAACACACCAAAAAGACAGTATCAGAGCTGGCCAAATGGAACCAATAATTCTGCTTCGATGACTGCTGGGAAGTAAAAACTGTCTTTTTATTTATGGATGCAAAGGTCTTCTCTAGGTCTTATGGAATGAGGTGAAATTCAAACTTCTAAGCCTGGCATTCAAAAGACCTCACAGTCTGGCCTCAATATAGCATTTTGACCTTAAATCCTATACCTCTCATAAATTCCATTCTATAAAACTGTTTTGCTCATATCCTTAGAATGCACTTTGCAGTGTCCTGCTCCCACAAATATCCTCACATCAAATTTTATTACCTGGAATGACTTTCCATTTCCTCCATACATTTTGTAGACCTCTATTCTGTTGTTAGTTGAATTCTTCCTTTTCCTGAAAAGCGATGGCTTTCCTGAGATCTGGTATTGAGTTCCAATTCAACTTTTTGAAGCTAAAGAGGTTTTATTGAGCCAGTGTTTACAAGCACCATAGAAATAGATGATGAGATGTTTGAAGCCAAGCTTTAAGAATGATTTTTTTTTACAAAGTTTACATACCAATCATGCCTCATTTCAATGTCCCACGTCACTGTGTACAAGCAAACAAACAAGAAAACATGGCTGTAATATCAACACATTGCAACAACTATTTAAGAATATTACAAGGGGCTCCTGGATAGTTCAGTCAGTAAGCGTCCAACTCTTGGTCTCAGCTTAGGGGGTGATCTCACAGTTCGTGAGTTCAAGCCCTGCACTGGGCTCTGCACTGACAGTGTGGAGCCTGATTGGGATTCTCTCTCTCCCTCTCTCTCTGTCTCTCTGTCTCTGTCTCTCTCTCAAAATAAATAAATAAACTTTAAAAAAAGAACATTACAAAGAGTGAGAGCAAGAAGTAGAACTTTATATTATTTTGCTTTAAGGACCCAGTCGTTTCTATTACCGCTTTTTAAAAACTTGTGTAAGCTATTAACGTATTATGATTTTCCAGCTTCTCTCAACTAGCCCAGTGAAGTTTTCCAGTAAGATCAAACATTTCCCACCCACCCCACCATCCCCCCGGGTAAGCCATATAGATGAAAGATCACCATCAGAGCCCTGCAGTAGGGTGACTTTCAGAGTTTGGAATTCTGCTTCCTTGCTGGTGAGCTGTGTGACTTTGAACAAATAATTAACTTCTCTGAACCTCAGTTTCCTCATTTATAAAGGATGATAATAATACTGAGTGCTTGAACTTATGAAAACTTATCATAAAGCATATATAAAAAGTCTTGTCCGGGATAATTCAATTCCCTTACCATTTCCAGGAATGATAGTCTGATGGGTTAATTGGCTACAGAAGCTTTTCTTCCTGAAAACAGGCAGGTTGCATGTTTCTTTTCTCAATATCAGTCCTCAACTGTGGTTATTGGAAGACAGCATTTAAATGCCCCAACTCTTAGGGTTAGGATAATCTCTTCTTTTTTAAGCTTATTTATTTATTTGGAGAGAGAGAGAGAAAGAGTTCACAAGCAAGGGAAGGGCAGAGAGAAACAGAGAGAGAGAGAGAGAGAGAGAATCCCAAGCAAGCTTCATGCTGTCAGCATAAAGCCTGATATGGGGCTTGAACTCAGGAACTATGAGATCATGACCTGAACTGAAATCAAAAGTCAGGCACATATCTGACTGAGCCCCTTGGTTACGATAATCTTAAAGTTGCTGCTTTGTATTTTCTTACAGTTTTGCCAGGGAAAGTGGACCTCAGAGTAGTAATTTGCTGACAACATACATTTTACAGATTTCTCTAAGATATATTTCCTAGAATTATGTCCCAATTAAATCCTTGTCTTGGGTTCTGCTTCTAGAGGAACTCAAACTAAAAACAGAGGGTATGTATTATGGATGGAATGTTTGTGTGCCCCCAAAATTCATAGGTTGAAATCCTAACCCCCACATTTGGAGGTGGGGCCTTTTGGGAAGTGATTATGTTATGAAGGTGGATGCCTCATGAATGGGGTTAGTGCCCACCTAAGACGCTCCCCAGAGAGCTCTCTCACCCATCTCCACTATGTGAGGATGCCCAAGAGAAGATGATCATTTTTGAATCAGACATGGGCTTTCACCAGACTCAGAATCTGCCAGCACCTCGATGTTGGACTTCCAGAACTATGAGAAATAAATTTCTGTTGTTTAAACCACCTAGGCTGGGGTACTTTGTTATAGAAGGTCGAATTGACTGAGGCAGTATGTCATATGAGAAGTATGTAACAGATACATATACTTATTGGTCTGATTTTTATTTCTACACTATTTATGCCAAAAATTCATAGTATATTTTTCACTGTGGTTCAGCATCCTTACCTCAAAATAAAGTAAGTCTGGAAGTTTAATAAATGTTACGTAGAAAATGAGAAAAAGTGGGGCACTGAAGTGGCTCAGTTGGTTAAGTGTTCTACTCTTGATTTCAGCCTGGGTCATGACCTCACAGTTCATAGGTTATGAATTATGATCTCATAGTTAGGGCCCTGCATCAGACTCTGCATTGACAATACAGAGACTGCTTGGGATTTTCTCTCTGTCTCTATATGTCTCATAATAAATAAACTTTAAGAAAGAAAATGGGAAAAAATAAAGCTTAAATTTGTGGTAACTATGATGTAGTCATCAAGGAGGCATCAAAACTGCCCCAAGGTAAAGTGGAACGGCCCTGAAAAGTTACATGAAGAAAAGAAATGGCCAGAGCATATGGTACACAGCAAACCAGATTGCTTTCATGAACATTTTCAGCGGTCCTCAGCTCATTGCCACTTGTACATCCTACATTGGGAGCCAACCCCCAAATATGCCCACTGAATGACTGTTCTGGAATGACAGCACATTGTTTTCACCTTCATTGACATGTATATGTCACGCAATGACTTAATACTAGCTTGCTCATCATTCACAGGTATATTAAATTGGTCAAACAGTACTTGTTAGTCTTTATAGTGAGTTATAATCATATATAAATATCATGACTTATTAGGTATTTTCACATCCATTTTCCCATTACATTCTCCCAACAATGCTAAAAGGAAGTATGAGCTTACATTATTAGCCTCATAAAGCAGATGAAGAACCTATAATTTAGAGAAAATAAATTGTTTCTTTGTTTCCTCAAAGTCACACTCAGAAAGTATCACTTAAGAGCTGGTGAACTTTATGCAGGGCTCTTTAAATTACCTTAAATTATCTTTATTTTTAATTTTTAAAAAATTGAAAGAAGTGAGTTTTAGAAGAATTACTTAAAAGTTCTGGGTTGCTAATCAATACTGAAGAATGCATATAAATGTATCTGAACACAGAAAGCTTCAGTTAACTTTCACCTCCCTCTCCTTGATCCCCAAGGTTAGGTACACCTCCCATGCTGTTCCGTTACACACAACTTCCCTACCTGAGATGTTATCAAACTGTTTTTTCTTGTCTGCCACCTTGTGATTATCCACTTTGAGATGCCATGTGCAGTAAAGGCAGGGACTAGGGTTAGTTTGTGCACAGGGGCACCTTAGTTGTCTGGAACAGTACCTGGTACTGGGGTAGGGAGTTTCTAAATATTTGTGGAACATAGGATACATTAACCATTCTGGACACGTGCTGTTTTCATGTTTAAATGCATTGATTTATGAATGTGTTTTCCAAAACAATTCTTAGCTTTCTGGCAGGTATCTGCTGGAAAGCCTGCTTCAATTGGAAGCCAAGTGAGGTTAAGGTTCAGGGAATTGTTTTCTGGGAAAAAAAATCACTCCTGGTATTTGTGAGGTCATGGGACTGCATAATTCTGTTAAAAAAAAAAAAAAAAGAAGACGACGACTGTGGCCAAGATACCATTATGAATTTTCACTTAGCATTTCTACACTGTGAAACTTTGATAAAGTTACAAAACATTATGTAATTCAGTTGTGTCTTCTATAAAATGAAAAATACATTAATTTCTGTGACCACTGTGATTAGACAAACATGTATATGAAATTATTTCACATCAAAAGCATTCAAGAAGTGTGGAGGCCCTATTCCTATCTTAGTGGGCTTTTTTTTTTTTTTTTTTTTGCCCTATTTTATTTTACTCTATAACACTTAGGGGACGACACACCTATCTATTAATGTACACATTGCCTGTTCTGTCCCAAACAGAAGGGAAGCTCTGTGAAAGCATACTTGCTGTACGTACTGTTATATTCCCACTTGGACTGGTATCGGAACTGGGTAGATGGTCAGTCACTGTATGTTGAAGGAATGAACGTCACTATTTTTGTAAGTGATGGCTCTTTCTGAACGCTCACTTTACACCAGCATGCATGTCTACAATTTGGAGATATCATTAGGTTTTATCCAGCAGGTCAGGCCATGTTTCATGAACATTCAGAGGCTCTCAGGCTTCTTGGGGATGGATCAACATCAAGATGAATTGCAAAGTGTAAAGCTCATTAACAACATGATTTGGTTCAAAACCTGGTCCCTTGATGTAAATCTATATTTCTCCTACTCTGCTAAACAACTTTCAATCAGTAACGGTGTATTTAGAAAATACTGTGTGTATCAAACAGTAGAATTTTGTGTACTTGGAATCAGCTTGGATATAACTCTCAGGGCAACTCCTTTTCCACTTTCCCTGTGTTCTCTCCTTTGCTTTGATCAGTATTTGGCTTGTTTATTTTTACCCCTTTGCACAGCTCCTAACTTTTTCAGTGTTATCTTAAATGACAAGTTTTCATTTTTACGAACAATCTTTCCTTCAGCTGAACAGAATGATCTTGGTACACACCCACTCAGCAAAACTAATAGTTTATTATAAAAATGCATGAAATGAATATTCAAAATCATATCCCATGTACAAACAAAATCTAAGTTATTTATGATCATGTTTACATGATTCAGGCATAGAAAGCAAACAGAAGGAACTATAATTCCTCTCTATGACCATGGCCAATGCATGGAGACACATCTTTGTGATTTGAAAATCAGAATTTTTTATTTCTAGAACAGATATCTGAAAAATGTGTTCTCCTCTAATAAAAGTATTTCCATTCTAAAAGCACCATCCACTTATAAATATTCTATATTTCCTTCTTTAAAGTTGCCAGACTTTTTTTACAACATGAAAATCTCATTTCCATGAGAAAAAGGCAGCTGCATTCCTAATATAGTACAGAAACATAACTGCTTTAAAAGTGGGTCCTGACACGTTAATTCACATTTTTTTTTTCATCTTCAGTCGTTAGAAATTTAGTGAAAAGGCTGTGATGGGCTACGGAAAATGTAAAGAGAACTAAAATAATATTTTTAACCTATACCATTTTCTTAAAAATTAAAAAAAAGAAAAACAGTGAAAAATTGTCTTGTGATTTTTCCCTTATCTTTCTTCTAATTTGTATTCCTGCAAAAGAATCTTCACACCCATTGGGATTTTCATCCTTTTCACAGTCTTGAAAAGGGCCATCTTAACCAAGAACACTTGAAAAATCGAATTTCCAAGGTTAAATTTATTATAGACTGAAACCGGACATTCTAATTAAAATGAAGAGTTTTCAAAGGGATCATCAATATTTCTTAGGTGATCCATTTCTTGCTGC